ATTCATTGCAACCCCATGTTTGCAGAATAGACCTGCTCCATAGAGTTTTCAAAGCTTTCGCCTTTTGGAAGAAGAGTACTAGGCTTTTTTTTCCTTGAGATACGGCTGGGTGAATACAAATCACAAATGTGTCGATTAGTAGTCAATCGCTTAACGGTTAGTGTATACTCAAACAATGCACACACACACACACACATATGCACACATATGTATGCATACACATATATACATACACATGGGCAAGTTATTGCCTGACCCTGCCCACTTCTGCCTCTACTTCTCTATACATGTTTCCTAAATTTAAAAATTGTCTTTTCTTCATGTTCCCTCCTAGATGAGATCAGCTGCAGCAAGCACAGAGATGATTCTCATGTGTCAAATACTGTTCGAGAAGCTGCAGGGATCATTTCATTCTAAAGAAATGCTTGCTCCCCAAACTCTTGGAGTCAGAAAGTTTTGCTTTTTTTGTCAGTTATCTTAAATTTTACCTGCCACAGAAAGAAACAACAATAGAAGTCAAGAGAATACTAGTGTTGATCAAGGAAACAGTAAGAAGTAGCACCAGAATGTAATGGTGCTATTAAATTACTAAATTGAAAGAAAGAAAACTGGAATTTACTGGTGTGACATTGGCTGGATTTCTGCTGTTATGTGCTGGTAACCACTGCCGTCAAGTTGATTTCGACTTATCGTGATCCTGTATAGGGTTTCTGAGGCTTTAAATCTTTATGGGTGCAGAACGTGTTACCTTCTCTGCCTGGATTACTCTTTTCCTAACATAGCCACAGAGGAGCCCTGGTAGCATAGTGGATTATGCATTGAGTTTTTAGTCAACTTGAACTGGGTCAGCAGTTCTAGTCCACCAGGTGCCCTGCTGGAGAAAGAGAAGGATTTCTGTGTCCGTAAATATTTACAGTCTTGGAAACTCTATACAGAGTCACACAACACAGCAACAACAACATAGCCACTAAGGACCCCTAATGGCATAATGGGTTACACTTTAGGCTGCTAACCAAAAGGTCAGCTATTCAAAACCACCAGTCAGTCCCACCTGGGGAAAAAGATGAAATATTCTGCTACCATAAATATTTACAGCCTCAGAAACCCTATACAGGGTGGTCATGAGTTGGAACCAACACAACAAGAAAGCTACTACTCACCTCTCCATACTTTTAGCATTAATGTCACCCCCCAAACATGGCCCACCATTATCACTCTATAGAATATTACTTACTACTCATCTACACCCAGAATTCTTGATATCCTGTGAACTGTTCTACTTTTTTCATTTGTTCACATATCACCTTCAGACATACTGTAAAAGTTACCCAATACATCTATTGTCTGTCTCCAAGTCACGCCACAATATAAACTTGAAAAACAAGGATTGTACTACTCTATTCATGATGTTTCTCAAGTGCCTAAAAATATGCCTGATACATAGAAGATGTCCAATAAGTATTTGTTAAATTAATGAAGGAATGAATGAATGATCTTGCTTATATTTCTCTGTGGGGTTTATATCTTATGAATGTCTTCACAGAAGAAAGAAATCTGAATGCAAAGATCTAAGAAGTTTTTGTATTCATCTCTAGGTATTTTCAATGTGGTTTGCATGACAGCAGAGCACTATCAAGGAGGCATGAAACATAAATACCAAGTGAGGCGGTGTCCAAAGCCAAATCCAGATCAAACACACTACCAGGAGGTGAAAACCATCTATATCGCAGCTGAGGAAATCATGTGGGACTTTGCTCCTAGCAAGAAATGGAAGAAACAGCTGTATAACTTGCAAAGAAAGAAGTATGGTGATAACTCTAGTCTCTAATTGTGAACGATTCATCTGTAGTCCTCCACCGAGTTTTTTAAGTGGCGCGCGCGTGCATGTGTGTGTGTGTGTGTGTGTGTGTGTGTGTGTGTGTGTGGTGGAGTTGGTGGTGGTGGTGGTGGCATGCATATCAGATATATTCAATTATAACTTATTTCAAGATATGTGAGATTGGTGTGTGTGTTTACATGTGTGACGTGCATGTATTTATGAGTGTGTCTAGTGTGTGTGTTTAGGATAAATTTACTTATAAATAACTTCACATCTTCTGTGTGGTAGATTTGACTGTAAATGACTTCAAAAAATTTTAAATGTTTTCATAGCTTCCTTTTGTGCTTCATTTCTTACTACCTCTTCAAACTTTTTACATCCTTCTTTCCTCTTCAAACTTTTTACATCCTTCTTTCCTATAAATGTGTTAAAATCCAATCTCCCCATTTTGAGAAATAATAAACACCACTTAAACTACATTTAAGATCTCTGGAATCACACTGGATTAGCATTGGGCTGCTAACCGAAAGGTCCATGATTTAAACCCATAGCCACTCCAGGGAAGAAAGATGAGGCAGTCATCTCTAATACAGATTTGTAGCTCAGAAACCTGATGGTGTGGTGCTGTTGTTTTTTGTTGTTGTTGTTGTTAAGTGCCGTCAAGTTGGTTCCGACTCATAGCGACCCTGTACAGGGTTTCCGAGGGTGTAAATCTTTACGGGAGTAGAAAGCCTCATCTTTCTCCCACGGAGCGGCTGGTAGTTTCGAACCGCTGACCTTAAGGTTCACAGCCCGATTCGTAACCAGGGTGCCATTAAGTCAATTCTGACTCATAGGTGCCCTATGCACAATAGAGCGAAACACTGCACAGTACTGATCCACCCTAACAATTGTAGTTACATTTGAGCCCATTGTTGCTGTCACTCTGTTGACTCATCTTTTGGGGAGTCTTTCTCTTTTTCACTGACCCTCCACTTTACCAAACAGGATGTTGTTCTCCAAGGACTGGTCCCTCCTGATAGTATGTCCAAAGTATGAGAGACAAAGTCTCGCCATCCTAGATTCTAAGGGCACTCTGGTTGTACTTCTTCCAACACAGATTTGTTTGTTCTTCTGGCAGTCCATGGTACTTTCAGTATTCTTCTACAACATTATAACTCAAATGCATCAATTCTTCCACAGTCTTTGTTATTCATTGTCCAACTTTCACATGCATATGAGACTATTGAAAATATCATGGCTTGGGTCAGACACACCTCATTCCTCAAATTGACACCTTAGCTCTTGAACATTCCAAAGAGGTCTTTTGCATGAGATTTTCCTAATACAATACATCTTTTGATTTATTTACTGGTGTTTCCATTGATTGTGGATTCAAGTAAAATGAAATCTTTGACAACTTCAATATTTTTTCCATTTATCATGATGTGATTTATCAGTACAGTGATGAGGATTTCTGTATTTTCTTTATATTGAAAGACAATCCATATTAAAGGCTATATATAGTCTTTGATCTTCATCAGCAAGTATTTTAAGTCCTCTTCACTTACAGCAAACAAGGTTGTGTCATTTACACATCACAGGCTGTTAATGAGTCTTTCTCCAATGCTGCTGCCACATTCTTTTTCACATAATCGAGTTTTTCAGATTATTTGCTCAACATACAGATTGAATACATAGGGCCCACACTTTTCCTGATTTAAACCATTTAGTATCCCCTTGTTCTGTTCTAACACCTGCCTCTTGGCCTATATACAGGTTCCTCATGAATGCAATTAAGTGTTCTGGAGAACCCATTATTCACAATGCCATCCATAGTTTGTTATACAATTGAATACCTTTCCAGAGTTATACAATAGAATACCTAGACCACAAGACCATTTGAACCATGAGGTTGGTTGAGGTTGGTGGCTCAAACTCACCAGTTGCTCCTTGGAAATACTATATAGGGTCACTATGAGTCGGAACTGACTCAATGGCACATAGCAACAACAACAAAAAAATATATCTTTCTAGTATTTCTCTGCTTTTAGCCAAGACCCAGCTGATGTCAGAAATTATATCCCTCATTCCACATCCTTTTCTGAATCCAGCTTGAATTTCTGGCACCACTCCATTGATATACTGCTGCAACAGTGTTTTAATTATCAGCAGAATATTACTTGCATATGTGATACTAATGATACTGTTCAATGACTTCCACATTCCATTGAATCATCTTTCTATGGAAAGAACACAAATATGGATCTCTTCCAATCAGTTCACCAGCTAGCTGTCTTCCACATATTTTGGCATAGATGAATACGAATCTCTAGAGCTGCATGAGTTTGTTGAAATATTTCAATTTGTATTCTGTCAAATCCTAGAGCTTTGTTTTTAGCCAATGCCTTCAATGCAGCTTTGACTTCTTCCTTCAATACTATTAGTTCTTGATAATATGCTACCTCTTAAAAAGCTTAGCATGACCCATTTATTTGTGGTACGGTGACTCTAGTATTCCTTCCATCTTCTTTTGGTGCTTCTTGTATCCTTCAATATATTTCCCAGAGAATTCCTTCAATATTTCAAGTCAAGGATTGATTTTTTGTTCAGTTTTTTCAGCTTGATATATGCTGGGTGTGTTTTTCCCCTTGGTTTTCTAACTCCAGGTTTTTGCACATTTCATTAAAAATATTTGACTATGTCTTTTCAAGCTGCCTTTTTAAAATTTTTCTGTTCAGCTCTTTTACTTTCTTATTTCTTCCAGTAGCTTTAGCTTATCTACACACAAGAACAAAATTCAAAGTCGCTTCTGGCATCCATTTTGCTTTCGTCTTTTTTTCCTTACTTTTTTTTAGCTTTCTTCATGTAAGATGTTCTTAATGTCATTCCACAGCTCTTCTAGTTTTTGTGTCATTAGTGTCTAATATATCACATCTGTTCTTGAGATGGCCTCTAAATTCAGGTGGGATATATTCAAGGTCATATTTTTAATTCTCGTGGACTTGTTTAATTCTCTTCAGCTTCATCTTGAACTACCATATGAGCAATTAATGGTATATCTCACAATCAGCCTCTGACCTTGTTTTGGCTGATGATATTGAGCTTTTCTACTGTTTCTTCCCATGGTGTGGTTATGTGCCGTGGAGTCGGTTTCAACTCGTAGATATAGTCAATTTGATTTCCGTGTATTAGATCTCCATGTGTATAGTTGCTTTTATGTTGTTCTTGGTGTTGTTAGGTGCCATCAGTCAGTATTGACTCATAGTAACACTGAAAAACAGAATGAAACACTGTCTGGTCCTGCAGCAACCTCACAATCATTGCTACACTGAGTCCATTGATGCTGCCACTGTGCCAATTTTTCATATTGGGGGTCTTCCTGTATTTCACTGACCCTACACTTTACCAAGCCTGATGTCCTTCTCCAGTGACTGGTCTCTCCTGATAATATGTCTGAAATATAAGAGACAAAGTCTGGTCATCCCAGCTTCTAAGCAGCATTCTCCTCCAACCCCATAACTCGAATGCATCAATTCTTCAAGTCTTCTTTACTCATGGTCCAACATAAACATGCATTCCTTAAAAAAAACTATGATTTGGGTCAGGTGCATCTTAGTCCTCAAACTGACATCTTTTCTCTTCAATACTTTTAAGAGGTTTTGTGCAACAGATTTTCCAAATGCAACATGCCACTTGATTTCTTGACTGCTGCTTCCATTAGTATTGAAGTGTTTCCAAGCAAAATGAAGTCTTTAACAGCTTCAATATTTTCTTCATTTGTATTGATGCTATTTATTGGTCCAGTGATGAGGACTTTTGTTTTCTTTACACTGAGGTTCAACCTATACCAAAGGCCATGGCATTTGGTCTTCATCATTAAGTATTTTAAGTCCTCTTCACTTTCAGCAAAGTAAGGTAGTATCATCTGCATATCACAGGTTGCTAATGAGTCTTCCTCCAATCCTGATATGTTTTTATTCATGTAATCCAGCTTCTTGAATTATTTGCTCAGCATATAGAATCTGAATAGGTGTGGTGAAAAAATACAACCTTGGCACACGCCTTTCCTAATTTTAAACCATTCTGTATTCCCTTGTTCTGTTTGAACAACTGCTTCTTAATCTATGTACAGGTTCCTCATGAGCACCATTAAGTGTTCTGGAATACTCATTCTCCATAATGTTATACATAGCTTGTCATGATCCACACAATCGAAAGTCTTTGAGTACTCAACAAAGTACAGGAAAACATGTTTCTGGTATTCTCTGCTTTCAGCTAAGGTCCATCTGATGTCAGCAATTATATCCATCATTCCAAATCCTCCTCTGAATCTGACTTGAACCTCTGGCAGTTTCCTGTCAATGTACTGTTGCAACCATTTTTTAATTATCTTTAGCAAAAATTTACTTTCATGTGATATTAATGATATTATCTGATGATTTCTGCATTCTGTTGAGCCACCTCTCTTTAGAATGGGCATAAATCTGGATCTCTTCCAGTCAGTTAGCCAGGTAGCTGTCTTTCAAATTTCTTGACATAGAAGTGTGAAAGCCTCTAATGCTGCATGAGTTTATTGAAAGATTTCTATTTGTATTCCATCAGTTCCTAGAGCCTTGTTCTTTGTCAATGCCTTCAGTACACTTGGAACTTCTTTCTTCAGTATCATTGGATGTTGATCATATGCTACCTCTATAAGTGGTTGAACGTCAACCATTTCTTTTTGGTACAGTGACTCTGAATATTCCTTCCATCTTCTTTTAATGCTTTCTGTATCATTCAATATTTTGCCCATTGAATCCTTCAATATTTCAAGTCGAGGCTTGAATTTTTTTCTTCAGTTCCCTCAGCCTGAGAAATGTTAAGCATGCTCTTTCCTTTTGATTTTCTAACTCAAGGTCTTTACACATTGTGTTATGATATTTGACTATGTCTTCTCAAACCATACTTTGAAATTTTCTATTCAGTTCTTTTACCTCCTCATTTCTTCTATTTTTCTTAGGATCACTATGTTGGAAAGCAAGTTTCAGAATCTCTTCTCACATCCGTTTTGGTCGTTTTCTTCTCTTTTTCTCTCTTCTTAATGACCTTTTGCTTACTTTCTGTATGATGTTCTTAATGTCATTCCACAACTCTTCTGGTCTTCAGTTATTAGTATCTAATTCATCAAATCCATTCTTCAAATGATCTTTAAATTCAGTTGGTATATGCTCAAGGTCATATTTTGGCTCTCATGGACTTGTTTTAATTTTCTTCAGCTTCAGCCTGTCAGCAATTGCATGTCAGCAATTGATGGTCAGTTCCACAGTCTTTGCCTAGCCTTGTTTTTGCTAATGATATGTAGCTTTTCCACTGTGTCTTTCCACAGATGTAGTCAGTTTGGTTTCTGTATAATCCATCTCGTGAGGTACATGTGTATAGTCAACTTTTATGTTGTTTTAAAAGGATATTTGCAATGAACAAGTCATTGGTATTACAAAACTCTATCATCCAATCTCCAGCATCCTTTCTATCAACAAGGCTGTATTTTCCAAGGACTGATCCTTCCTCTTTGTTTCCAATCTTTGCATTCCAATCACCAGTAATTATCAATACATCTTGATTGCATGTTTGATCAATTTCAGACTGCAGAAGTTGGTTGAATTCTTCAATTTCATAATCACTGCCTTTAATGGTTGGTGAGTAAATCTGAATAACCGTGTTATTAACTGGTCTTCCTTGTAGGCTTTGGATATTATTCTATCTTAGACAGCATTATACTACAAGACAGATCTTGATATGTTCTTTTTGATGATGAATGAGATTCCATTTATCTTCATCATTCCCAGCATAGTAAATCATGTGATTGTCAGATTCAAAATGGTCAATACCAGTCCATTTCTGCTTACTAATGCCTAGGATATCAATCTTTATTTGTTCCACTTCACTTTTGACAATTTCCAACTTAGATTCATACTTTGTACATTCCATGTTCTGATTATTAATGGATGTTTACAACTGCTTCTCTTCATTTTGAGTTGTATCCAATCATCAAATGAAAGTTCCAAAGACTTTACCCCATTTGTATCATCACAGTCAACTCTTCTTTGAGGAGGCAGCTCTTCCCCAGTCACATCTTGAGTGAAGGACTCATTTTCTGGCGCTATATCTCATAATATTCTAGTGCTCTTCAACGTGTTTCAATATTCAATATTTTAGTACTGAACAGTGTTCCAGCGCTATTCATAAAGTGTTTAGTGACTAAATATTTACTTCTAAATATTTAGAAGTAAATATTTGGTCACTCCTTCTTCTTAGGCTATCTTAGTCTGGAAGTTCAGCAGAAACCTGTCCACCCTGCTGGTATTTAAAAATACCGGTGACATAGTTTCCAGAATCACAGCAACATGCAAGCCACCACAGTACAACAAACTGACAGAACAGTAGTATAGTTGTTTTATATGTTGTTTTAAAAAGTATTTGCAATGCATAAGTAACTTGTCTTGCAAAATTCTGTCATGAGATCTCTAGCATCATTTCTATCACTAATGTCATATTTTTCACTATCCATCCTTTCTCTTTGTTTCCAGCATTACATTATAATTACCTGTAATTATGAATGCATCTTGATTATACATTTCATCAGTTTCCGTCTGGAGAAATTGGAGAATTCTTCAATTTCATCATCACTGGTTTAGTGATTGGTGAATACATTTAAATGAAAGTGGTACTGACTGGTATTCCTTGTAGGTGTATGGATATTATCCTATCACAGACTTGCAGGTACATCTTGAAATGATCTTTTTGTTGTGAATGAGACACCATACCATCCCTCTTCAATTTTTCATTCTTAACATAGTAAGTAATATTATTGTCTGATTCAAAATAACCAATACTAATCCATTTCAACTCATTAATGCCTAGAGTATCAATTTTTATGTGTTCATTTCATTTGTGACAAGTTCTAATTTTCCTAGATTCATACTTCATACATTCTATGTTCTGATTATTAATGGATGTTTGCAACTGTTTCTTCTCCTTTTGAGTTTTTCCCTATCACAACTGAAGTTCCCAAATGTTTTACTCCCTTCAAGGCATGAAGGTCAACTCTACTTTGAGGAGGCAGCTCTTCCCCGATCCTATTTTGAGTGTCTTCCAACTTTAAGGGCTAATCTTCTGGCACTATAGCAAACAATTTTCCATTGTTATTTATACAATTTTTAGTGGCTCACTATTCAGAAGTGGTCTGCATCTCCTTCTTCCTAGTCTTAGTGTGAAAGCTTTGCTGAAGTCTGTCCAACATGGGTATCCCCACTGGTTTTTAACAGAGCAGTGACAAACCTTCCAACATCACAGCAACTCACAAGCCACTAAAGTATGAGAAACTGACAGATGAGTCGTAGGTTGTTGTTATTATGTGACTTCATGCTAATTCCAACTGCCTGGTCCTATGCCGCCTTCACAATTGTTGTGTTTGAGACCATTGCTGAAGTCACTTCATCAATCCATCTTATTGAGGGTCTTCTTATCTTTCATTGACTCTCTCTTTTGCCAAATATGAAATCCTTTTCCAGGGACTGTCCCTCCTGAAAGCATGTCCAAAGTAGGAGATGAAGTATAAGTTTGTTCTTCTGGCAGCCCATGGTATCCTTCACCCATCCCAAAATTCAAATGCATTAATTCTTCTCCAGTCTTCCTATTCATTGTCTGGCTTTCACAAGCAATTGAAATACCACAGTTTGGGTCAAGCACACCTCACACTATTATCTTTGCCCTTGAACACTCTTTGAAATGTCCTGCAGCAGATTTGTCCAATGCAATATATCCTTTGTTTCTTGACTGCTACTTCTCTAAGTGTTCATTGTGGATCCAAGTAAAATCAAGTAAGTCCTTGATAAATTCTTTTCTCCCTTTATCATGAAGTTGTCTAGTGGTCCAGTTGTGAGGATTTTTATTTTCTCTATATTGAATTCAAATCCATACTGTAAGTCTTTGATCATCATCAGTATGTATTTCAGGTCCTCTTGGCTTTCAACAAGCAAATCTGTGTCATTTGTATATCTCAAGTTGTTAACAAACCTTCCTCCAATCCTGATGCCACATTCTTCTTCATATATTCCAACTTCTCAAATTATTTGCTCAGCATACAGATTGAATAAGTATTGTGAAAGGATACAAGCTTTCCATATACCTTTCCTGATTTTAAACCATTAAATACTCCCTTGTTCTATTGGAACAACTGTCTCTTAATTTATGTACAGGTTCTGCATGAGCACAATTAAGTGTTCTGGGATTGCCATTCTTCACAGTGTTATCCAATTTGTTATTACCCACACAGTCACATGTTTTTGCATAGCCAATAAAACCATTCTTCTGTGTCCGGTAGGTTCACTATGAATTTGGAATCAACTCGATAACCACTGGTTTGGTATTTGACCAATTAAATTTAACATTTGAAATTTGTCAGGTTTTTATTTTGTCTTCAATTTGAAGACACTGATTTTTCTCTTTTTGTAAAATTTTATTTTTTTCTCTTGTTTCCTCTCCTACTAAACCCAAAACCACACCTGTTGCTGTTTAGTTGATTCCGACTTATAGTGACCATATTTGTTGTTATGTTGTTAAGTGCTGTTGAGTCAGTGCTGACTGACTCCGGTTCTGAGTCGGTTCTGAGGAACAGCTGAGGAGCTTGAACCACTGACCTTGAGGTTCAAACCAACTTTGAGTAAAACTGCTCACTAGGGTTTCCAAGTCTGTAAATCTTTACAGAAGCAGGCTGCCATATCTTTCTCCAACAGATCGGCTGATGGATTAGAACTGCCAACATTTTAATTCGCAACTAAATACTTAATTGCAGGGCTCTTTTTTCCCTCTCTTACTACATATTTATTAATAATAACTAAAATATCCTCATGAAGGCATGTTTTAAAATATAGAGTGAAAGTCTAACAATTTTGCCAGAACTAATATATATGGGAATCCTGATGTGGTGCTGTGGGTTAATGTGCCATACTGCAAAGCCATTTGAACTGTAATGTCAGTGGTTCAAACTCACAGGCCGCTCCCTGGAAACCCTATACAGGGTAGCTATGGGTCAGAACTGACTCAACAGCACTTGACAACAACAACAAATATATTTTAGAAAAATTAATTGTTCCAAGGTGAGTGAGTCTCTAAGTAATAAGTCATATTAACTCAATATGAATTTCTTCCATATGAGTCTTTTGTCTATTGTAATGGTTACAATAACTAACTACATAATTTTGTTTTCTTAAAGTAAAACAAGCATATATTTGAATGGAACTGGAATATTTCTTGGGTCCAAATACAAGAAAGTTGTATACCGTCAATATGATGATATAACATTCACAAATCAAACAAAAAGAAGTGAAGATGAAAAGCATCTGGATATACTAGGTATGGAATTGGGCACTTGCATTGGCTGGGCTTCAAAACTGGGTTTGAGTTCTACTTCCGACTTCAGCCACTGGAGATGATTGCACACCTGAAGACATTGTCAATCTCCACCTTGACAGGGATAGTACAAGAGTACACAGAATTTGAATTTGTTTACTGATAGGCATTTTTACTCAGGAAAAAAAAAAAAAAA